ATATTAAAGTGAAATTGCTGAGTAAACTATCACCTTCAATTGCGAAGCTGGTTTTGTCACTTCCATTCAATGAATTAAACCTGCAATGTTACATAGTACTTTTTGGTGCTCCAAGTTGCCTTTGTTTCTCTAAGATGTGTTAAATTCTGATACTAATTGTAGTTGATGATTTTGGGTTTCTTTGAGTACAGTACAAAAAATTTTAACTCTAAGCTTTTTGCAATTTTGATTAATAATAATTAGTTACATAATGCTTCAATTGTTAGTGAATAATGTAGTTAAGACTCTCATAGGATTGGTAATTTAATAGTTTTGCATTGATTCTCTGATTTTTTAGTGAATAATGTAGTTAAGACTCTCTGATTTGTGTAGTTTTGATGGTTTTGAATGTTGGGTTCATTTGGTTTTATGGACTGGTGTTGTTCTGTGTGGATAGGTGCTTGCTGTTTCAGTAGTGGTTTGCTTTTCTGGCAGATTGCTGTGCAATTTTTGGGATGAACAAGGATTTTTATGAGCTGATCTGTGGTGTTCAGGTCCAGTTCTGGATTACTTTCTGCAGTTAGTCTGTGCATTCTGAGCATGGAGCTGCTTTTTAAACTATTGCATGTGTCATACCTAAAGCATGTTTGGAGGGCAAAAATATATGCTGATAGTTATGTCTATGTTGTGGTTAGTGCTTGGAAACACTTCCACACACTAAAAATTATATGATTCTGGGAGTGAGTAACTGATTTTCTGACTTAAGTTTACCTAAAATACCACCACTAAAGGTGTTGGAGTGAGTAACTGATTGCTTAAAACTGATTGTAGTAGGAGTCATATGTTGCTTAAAACCTGATTGGGATTGCTTTAAAAATGCAGAAATATGTCACTTGCTGCTACTATGTTTGCTTTAAAAATGCAGCTGCCAAGTGAACTTTCAAAATGCAGCTGCTATATTTGCTGCTATGTTTGCTACTCTCTTTTTTGAATGCTTTTGATGTGTTGGTTTGTTGCATTGATGAATGAAGATCATTATCCTATAATGTTGAGGTTTAATACCATTGTCTTTTCATGTTTGTAGTGTTGAAGAATGACAGCTTCAAGCACGGCAACCACGAATTAAGATATCGCAATATGCATTGTCTCATTTGTAGCAAAAAAACGATTATCAAAGTTTCCGAATCTGAAAAAAATCCTGGGAAACTATACTGCAAATGTCCAGACAATGACAAACACTTTTTTCAGTGGATGACTCCTATTACTCTTCCCTCCTCGAAAATTACAAATGAGAGGATGGATGTACGACGAATTGAAGATAATGTACGATGAATTGAAGACAATGTACGACGAATTGAGGTTAATGATGGTTCAATGAAGTCAAAAATATTTGTAGTCACTTTAATAGTGGTGATGCTTATATTTGTGATTGTATTGAAGTAGAGTTATAAGAACAATGATGTAGTGATGAAACTTGTGTTGTAAATGAACTTCATGGTTTAATTTGAATGAAATTGTGGGTTTTGTATATTGTTGTGACTTGAAAGATCATATTCATCAAAAAATATCACATTCATTAAAGACGATCACATTCATTAAAGAAGATCACATGAATTAAAAAAAGATCAGATTCATTAAATGATTGAATCACATTCATTAAAAATACAACAAGCATCCAACTGCTGAAGAGAACCAGCTACACATCACATCTCAACAACATCTCATATAACCTCCAAGCAACCCCTCAACTACCATCCTTCAAAGTCCAATACGACATATCAACAGCTTAGCTGCAGACCAGTTAGCATCAGACCAGGAACTCATCGAACTTAGGAACTTTAAAGTCCAATAGCATCAATCAAAAGTTGGGAAAAAAGATCATATTCATTTTAAACTTGATACATATGTCAAAAAAGATCATATTCATTATAAATACAACAAGCATCCTTACAATACAAAATGATCCAAATAAGCATCCTCCAAGCATCCTTACGAGTTGAATCTCCCATTCATGAAAAATGATTCAGCATCATTTAAAGAATGCACATATATTGAATTAGTCGGAGTACCCTACAATAATGAGATTATTTCAAAGAAATAAACTTGATACATCTGTCAAACAATAAAATTAACAATAAGGTAACATACCATAACACTTTGTACACTATTTGAAGCTTGAGAAGACATTGAATGACCATATGCTGATGTACACGGGTGACTATAACCTTGTAACTAAGATAAAAAAATAATGTTTAGTCAAATATAAAGCGACTACAAATAAAAAGTGAATAAAAATATACAATATGTGATGGTTGGGAAGCTCATTTTTTTTCTCTTTGTTGTTTTCTCATGCCAAGATTTTAGTCGACTCCAACCCTTGTAACCACCTTCTTTTTTTTTTAAACCTTTAACTTGGAGAAGGCTTGGGTCAACATTTTCTATTAGACTTGGGTCAACATTTTTATGGATTGAATCATCACCACCATCACCAATTGATGCATACATACTATCTACTTCTTTGAACAATTCCTCAACACCATGTGACACCAATTGATATGCAGGTTGAAGACCAGAGTATCGAGCAGCTAGTTGTACCATTCTAGGACAAAGTTGCCTATAACGTGACGCCACCATTAACTTGGGATTCTCTTCATTTGACATTAAAATGGGGTTTGTCCTAGAACTCTTTTTTGCATCTCGTCTCCATCTCTTACATATGTATTGCTTGGGAATTTGCTTAATATTCATCATGTCCAAGACTTTAAGTGCATGACCACATAATATTCCCTCCATTTCAAACTTCCGACAACTGCAATTGACTATCTCCTCATTAGCCTTAACCAATACTAAATACTCTCTATATTCATCATATAATCGAACCACAAATTGATGCCACCCATCCAACACATCACATGATGTCGCAATAGCACACTGAAAGATATCATACTCCTCTTGGAACAGGTCAAACATAGTAGGAATGTACACTTGCCCTGCTTGCACTAACATTGGAGCTCTTTTTAACTTCAATCTAGGTAATTTGTGCCTAGCTTGGTATTCTGAGTCTGACTCCTTATACCGCTTATCATTCATAATTCTTTCAAAATGTACAAAGAACTGAACAATGTCGTGGTCTGGCTTTAAGTACTTTCGTAAGGCTGCATTCAAGCTCTCACTCAATTGAGTGTTTTTCATTCCTGCAATGAAAGTCCTCTTCATATACACATGCCCCCATTTTTCTCGCAATGCCCAAGTGGCTTTCATCCACATATTATCATGCAAACTATACTCCACAAGTAACGATTCTCAAGCCTCAAATAATTCATGCTCTTCCTTATATTCATACACACACTCTTTAAATCGAGCAAGAAATTGAGAACCATCCTTATATATGTTTCCCAAATGTTTCAACGCATTTTGGCAAAGATGCCAAGTATATAACCCATGGTATGTCTCTGGCATGACTATAGAGATAGCCTTAGCCATCGCTTGATCTTGGTTTGTGAAAATGGTAATAAGATATTTTCCAGACATAGCTTGTAAGAATGTCTCAAACAACCACTGAAATGATGTCACTATTTCATCATACAATAATGCAACTCCAAATAAACTGTCTCCCTGAAATGATTGAAACCAATAAAACAAGTAAATGGTCGATACTCCTTGTTCGTTCTGAATGTAGTGTCAAATGAGATAACATCTCCAAAGTTGCCATAGTCAATAATCATCACTGGGTCGGCCCAAAAAATATTAGTAATATGTTCCTCCACATCCAATTGCACTCCATAATAGAATGATGGATTTTTCACTGTTTCCGTTTGAAAATACTTCAACAAACTACCCGTCTCACCATACTTAAAGCCTCGTTGCCTCCTTTTACGGAGGTAATTCTTTTGGTCAAGACGAGTAAAATCAAGACTTTCATTTCCTCCAGACTGAGTACTTAATAGATCATAAGAAGCCTTAAGTGACAATTCACAATCCGCTGCCATATCAATATTAATGCCTTGGGCTTCGATAACTTTTCGTTGGGATGACATCATATGCATACATTCAGCAAGGTGCAAAGGATGGTTGTGGTTGTCGTCCCACTTCGTCACAACAAATTTACCAATTTCTCTATTAAGAGATATGCACATATGAGCTTTACAATTTGTTCTTGTCTCTACTCGAGACTTCCTTATTTGGTACTCTCTTTTATCATGACTCCTTTGACCTTATTTACAACAAACATATTTTCTGTAAATGACAATACCATCTTTCAAACTTTTATTCTGAAAATCTTTTCTCACACAAAATCCCACACACCCTCCATAACTATTGTAAAACGCGTAAGCATCTTCCTCCGCATCAAATTGCATACCAATATGAGGTATATTCTCAGTCGCTTTAACTCCCAAATCATCCATCATAGTATCCTACAAGAAGAATTTTGTAAGGCATTTGGTTCAATATGTTCGAAAATTTTCCCTCTAATTTTCCCAAGAAAACATGGTAAGAAAGTGGAGGAATTTCGATGACATATAATAGTGAAAATTAAATTAACTCACCTCAAGATTTTTGAGTTTGAAATACGCCTGCCAGCAGCTATAAGAAGCGTCTCCTCCAAACGTTGAACAGTAATCTGAACATTATCAGTATACCAAAACTACAAATTAATAACTCAATACACAAATTATACTCTCAAATTAATCGAGCGTAAAACAAAAAATACGAAGAAAATCGCATTATAGAAATCTAAACTTTATAGAAAATTTTATCAAATAAAAAATATCAAAGTCTTGATTATACACACACAGATATATATATATATACACGAAAATATGTATACATGCATAGTAATGTAGAAAGGTATATGCTTATGAGCCAGCAACACATTTAGCAAAACATTTAATATATAAAAACAAACCTCATATTAAACTTATCAGCTTGGAGTTGTAAGATTCTTTCCAGCCCCCTGGTTTGGTTATTTCTTTTTGGATCTTGAATACAATAACAAGCAAGACTAGACTAGTTTGAGGTTGATGGTGAACCTAACTCCAGTTGGTAATTTAGCAGGTAAATAAAACATAAATTATTCTTTCAGCTTATATTATCATTGGTAAAAAGATTGCTAAAGATTTGAATTATTAGAAAAGGACCCACTTTGTACGTGGAACCAGTGGAGTTTGATGAAGAAGAAACGGGAGAAAGAAAAGAGAGACAGCCGAAGTTGGTTTTAACTGGACCAAAACGACGTCGTTTTGGTAAGAATGAATAAAAAAAAAATTCCAAAACCAAGTGGAACGACACCGTTTTATTTAACTGCATGACATGCGGTTTTTCACTTACCGCAGAGGATCTGCTCCCGGAGGAGCAGAGCTGAGTGGTTGAAATGAAGCTGAAAATTTTTGACCTAGCTTGTGATTTGTGTAATTTAAGTGGTTTGGCCTAACGTTTAAGTCGTCATTTTAAATAATGTTTTTAATCTTTTAATTTTTCCGTTTTTAAATATCTGTCATTTAAGGTTTTTATACAAGGATTAAGGAGGTTATTAAATAGCTCTAATATGAGTAAAAAAATAATTACACAAGACTAAAATACTCATATTCAATACGTATTGGGAAGAAAAGGAATATGAAAGACACTTAGTCTACACTTAATCTATTAGGCATTTATTGAAAAATAGAGATAAAGATAAATTTGGAATATTTATTATACTTGGGTTTCATAAAACGACAAATATTATAGGACAAAAAAAATTGTGTGCAACGACAGATATTTAGAAACGGAGGGAATATTTTTTTAACGTATGTTAGCGCCGTTTAAATTTTTTTGTTAGAAAACGTTATTATAAATGACGACTTTAAAAATATCATTCTTAATGACGTTTTAGAAAAAAAAAATTTATCTTTAAATCGTCATTTTAAATGATATTTTTAAAGTAGGAGACGTCATTTCAAATAATATTTTTTAAAACAAAACTGAATTTAAAAATTAAGATTAAAACATGACTCGTGTGTGATGTTCTCTCTCTCTCTCTCTCTCTCTCTCTCCAGATGTCCCGATCCTTCGCCTCTCTGATTTTGTCCCAACAGCTCACACACACGCACACTTGCCAACACAAGTTAACTTTTTGCCACACCACAGCCCCACCCTGCACGTGAAGTGTTTGTTGAAATTCATGAGAGCACCTCCTCCTCAATCACTGCCCATTTTAATGTCATTTTATGGTTCCAATTATATAATTTAGGGTTTAGGGTTATGAAATTGGGGCAAATTGTATTGCTTTCAATTTTCGTTATGTAGATGAACTTGAAATCCTGCAATTGAGCAAGTGGGCAGTTGAAGACCAGTTCAAAGCTTCAAAAACTCTTCCAATCCACTTCAATTGGACCCATCCGAGGTATACCCAGAGCCTAACTCTTTCTCTGTTTCTCTCTGTATAGGTTGAAAAATAGCTGTAACCTCAAGTCTTTCACCTTTGTGCCAACTTCAATTTGTAGTATCCACACTTTTTAATGGTTTTTTTTTTTGTGTTATCAGTTTACTTAATGATTTTTGCTTTTGTTAATTTCACTTTCATTGTGTATTGAAGCCACTCGGCATATGTGAACCTGTAAGCATTTCTCTCTTTCTTCGTTTGTATTTATTTTGTTTTCACCTGAAAATTTTGGGATTTTGATGCATTACATTTCATCGGTTGATTGATTATGTGTCTTGGATGGACTGATGAGGAAATCAATAATTGTGATTGGTTTCTGTTAAAGAGATGTTCAAACAATAAAAGTGTGGATAAAGAGTGTTAATCTACGGGTGAAGGGTATATGGTGTTTGTGGTTTGGGAATTTCAGGAAGTGAGACTATGATGGTGGCGCATGTGGTGTATAGTGGTGGTTATGTTGTCTGATTTAGGTGGTTTATGGTTTGGAATTTTTGCTATTTGTTTATGAAAATAATAGGCACCATTGGACAAATTAATACGAGAATTTGATTATTTTTGTGAACATTGGGATTTTTGAGTAGTGATATTAATTTCATGTGGTTCAATGAGTATTTGCGTTGTGGCCAGCTTATAAACAAAATAATAAAATGAAATAAAAGAAGAGAATACATTTTGAAACTCAAGTCTTGTGTTTTGTTTAATTTTTTTAATGAATTTACTTCAAGGTCAGTTTTTTGAAACTTCAAGTTTTTTTTTTTTTTGATACGGGTCATTTAATCTCCTTCCCATAGAATTAATTTCTTTAGATGTTCTTAAAATATTTGTTCTATGGGATTGTTAGTGACCACTTGTGGAATGTGGGGGCGAATGATGGTGAAAATGGTGACATGGAGGTGGTGAATAGCAGATGGGTGATGTGGTACTTGCTTGATGGTAATGTTATTTTGTTTTTGTTTAGCTTGTGTTCCAATATCTAATTTTAAATTAAGTTCATAAAATTGTTATTGTGTAAAACTAAATTGACTCGGTTCATATCTTACATCTTTTCTTTCCATTTGACTCGGTTCCCAATGAATAGCAGATGGTTTGTAGGTGTGAAGGGTGAATGCTATCATTTCATGAAGGAAATAAGCACAAGTCATTGGGGCTGAGGGTGATTGGTGCAATATTTTTGTTTTGCTATTTGTTTAACGTTTAATTTTGTGATCTCTAATTTAATATGCATTTGTGGTTATGCTTTTGGGGTCTTGTTTTTGGAGGAAAGTTTGTCCGAACTGTTTCGAGTTTATTGGACGCAAAAACTTATTTGGTCTCCTAAATGCATTATTTGCGCTACTTTCCTCTAATACTTAGTTTTTAATTGCTAATTTTTTTATTACATAATGCCTTCACGCACGACACATTGAATATGTTTTTATTGTCTTTATGGGGATAAAGGTTGTCGTCCAATGAAGGGAATGTTTTTCTTCTATCAAATGCATGAGTCAAGGTGAAAGTATGTAATGAAGGGAATCAATGGTTTGAACTATATTTAGTACTGAACATTCACTGTTATGAATAAATGTGAATTATGCTTACATATGATTTTTGATATACCTTTGCGAAAGATTATGTGCCAATTATTGTCTGAATTAGAATGATGGAATACAATATGTGATATATGGTTATGTGTTGTTGATCATGGGGGATCGATTGTGACTTGTGTATGTTATGTTATATGATGTGTGCATAATGAGTTATGGGAAATAACTGTGTTTCTATACACAATTATTATATTTGCTTCGGGTTTTATAATTGTGATATATTAGGATTGGGTGAAAATCTCAGTTTTGGTATTAATCGTGGTGGTGGTTGTTATTCGTGGTATTTGAAGTACATGTGTATGACATTGTGTATTGTGGATTGTGGATGATAAATACCACTCCCTGGTATTTATTTCTTCCTCGCAAATTTCACAATAGAAATCTTGGGGATGATCAAAGATAGGAGGATAGGTAAGGATGAGGGAATGTCTATCCCATCTATGCTCGACGGTTTTAGGGAGTAGAACACAATTACCGCATAGACGGAAATTGCAATCCTTACATCCGAACCCGTGATTATGAAAATAGAGTCCACATGCCCTGCAAGATCCATACTCATCCCTTGTATTGTCAATCTGACATAGGGAGTGCTTGTGAGCTTCATGTACAATAGAGGTGGGCAGGAGAGCACATTTAACATCAATGGCGAAGTATTTACACGTGTCACACTTGTAGAAGAAACCGTTGTTGTATGACTCGCAAGCTTCGCAATCGGTGGGCAGATAGAATTCACTACAGTTTGAGAGCTGAATCGGGTGTTGGTTAAGTGGAGAAAATAAACGCATTGTGTACAACGATAAAATGGATGTGAAATCGGTTGTACACAGCTATCACATAATATTGTGTTATCATTGTTTGTCTCATTGTCATTTTGCACTTTGAAAAGTGTTAGCTGATGCTCATGGCTCCGATGGCTGATCATTGGTTCGTCCTCAATTTTTTCAAGGAGGAGATGTTCAACAAAACAGTTCATCGGCAAGTGTAGTACATCAAGATCGTGGTCTTTCTGATCCATAATCTCACTTTCTAGATCCCTAAAATAATATATATAAAATAAGAGTTACTTACCAATAAAAAAACATTGCTAGTATTTATGTCCTTAAAGTATGCTAATTTTATCAATTTAGTCTCTAAAGTTTCAATTTATATCACTTTGGTCCCTAATCAGAGAATTCGTTAAATTTTTTGATGAAAGTGACCACGTGTCATTCTTTCAGACGGTATCACGTGATCAACACGTAATTATTCCGGCAAAAACTTAATAGTTTATATGTGTATGGACCATTTAAACACAAATTGAGCATTTCAAAAACACAATTGACAAAATTAATATTTTAAAGACCAAACTGACAAAACGTATATACTTTATGAGCCAAAAGTACTATTAAATTATTTGTTTTTTCTTTTGGGGAGGATGAATAGACTCACCTCAAAGGTGTTGAAGATGAAGTTGATGAGCACTTCACATGAATAGAACATCTGCATCGGAAACAGTAATAAGCCCAATAAAATCGATTAATACGCTCATCACATATATAACAGTCTGTATCGAATTGGGTGAACTTATCCAACTTCTCGAGAATGAGAGGGTGATGGTGATCCGTACGGCTGATGGTGGTAGGTAACAAAGCACATCTCTTGTGAATCCAAAACTGACAAGTAACACATACATATGATGAATCTTTGTGTTCCATGCGACAAAGATTGCAAAAGAAAGAGGTTGACCTTAGTAGGAATGCTAATGGGTGCTCGTGAATTTTATGTGTAATCATTCTGCGGTCTTCCAGTAAACATGATATGCAAATATTAAATTCGCAAGAAAAACAACGGTAGCAGTGTCCTTCCCTATCATCTAAACAAAAATCACATGCGAATGGCCAGGATACGTGCATAGGGTGTTGGTGTATGGGGTCTGTAACTTGTGGACGGAGTGCCGCACATCTTTTGTGCAGAAAAAAATCACATTCGGAACAACTATATGCAGGGCCTAAGATCTGTTTCGCGCAGAATCCGCAGATAACTAATTTGTGGCCGCCTTCATCCTTTTGTAGTTCCTTGAGGCCCAATGGATGGCGATGCCAGAAATGTTTCAGTTTTTCCATCTCTAATGTGTGTTCTTAGGGGTGTGGGTGTGGGTGTGTGTGAGAGAGAGAGAAAGAGGCTGAGGGAAAGAGAGGTAATTAATAGGCCTAGCTCGGAAATTGTAAGAAGAAGAGATTAATATGTACACCAATTCTTCAAGCGGAGAGGCCAAACTTATATAGGTTCTATGGCCTAAATTTTGAGTAAGGTATCTAATTATGATTAAGTTATGTACTTTAGATTATGTACAAGAAGGGGTTAGGAATAAATGCATTTAAAGAAATGAATGATATGCATTTTGGAATATATACTGAGAGGGACTAGGAATAAGTACATTCAAAGAAATGGATAAGTACTTAATAATACTTGAAAAACACATAAAAAGGTTTTGTGTTGGTGAAGGAGAAAGACGGGGTATGGAATTTAATCAATTTATATTACATTTATAAGGAAGAAGATAGAAGCAATGAAAGATTGACTAAGCCAATCTTTAGCTATGCATAACGATTTGAGATTCACTGGTTGATGGGTTAAAAAACAGAGCAAAGGAAGATTTTATTTTTTCGGTTTTTCTAGAATAATTATGTCAAAGTTATGTGTCTAAGCATTCAGCTTATTAGATAGAACACAATGCCCAATTCGGAACCAGGCATAAGTCGATGTAACTACCCCTACTACTGTTTATGATCAAAAGAGCCAAGTGTACATGAAATTTCAGTAATGATATTTGGACATAAAATGGAGACTTAATGTTATGAAATTTGACATGAATTTACTACATTACAACTAATTTAGTCCTATTCTCACTCTTCATTCTCTCACTTTCCCATGTCTGATACTTTGGTTTGCCTCTTTTTGCCGTTACCAATTATTCTTTCTTATGCCAGCAAGAAACTCGTCGTTACCATTCAATATTTCTTATGCCAGCAAGAAACCCGTCGTTACCATTCAAGAATTGTGCTTCATATCTTGAAATATTTTAAAATTGTCAATCAATAAAAACTCATTACTTTTTCAAAAAATTTCAATAGAATTTTATCTAAAAATAGGACTCCTAAATCATATAAATATGTGTATACAATTCATAAAATCAAATTAGTAATTAATACATATCTTTCTTTAAAGAAATACAACCCAAACCAATTACAGAAGCCACCGTGTAGAAAAAAATATATATATATTTTGACTTCCTTTCATTTAATTACACCATTTATAATTAACTTTCCACTCAAGTTATTGTTGAAACAAAAATAATTAACTCAGAAAAAAAGAAAGGAAAAAAAACTAATGGTAAATTACACAAACACCCTATAAATTGATCTAATTATAAACACACCCCCTTGATTTTTTGAAATTACAAGAACACCTCTTACTGTTTAGCTATCCATTTACAAAGCGCCCCTATAGATAACACCGTTATTGGCAATGTCAAAAAAGTGATTATATCATCAACTTTTTACACTTTACTACCCTTTATTACTCATGAATAAAATTAGACTAACCTATTTATTTTCGTGTCGTATTCGTGTTTGTATTCATGTTTTTTTTTATAATGTGGAACCTCTCCAAGGTAGGGCCTCTTTGAATTCATCCCTACTAAAGTAAACTCCGAATACCTCTAATCGCCTGCAAAGTATAGGTATTGATTAAGCTCGAGAGACACTAACAAGAGTCAAACCCATGACGTCCGAATCTATGGTTTATCTGGGTTCAACTTCATACCGCTGGGCAACCCTTGCGTGTGTGTTCGTATTCGTATTGACCCATATAAACTTTGAATAAAAAAATTTAATGCTAAAATTTAAATATAAGATTCTATTATCACTTAATTGAACCCATACTCATATATTTTCTATAAACTAAAAATTAACCTAATAAATATAACAATAATAATAAGTAAAAATATCTTTTATATACAATAATTATATCAATGTTTAATAAATAGTAATAAATAATTAATATTTTATTTTTATAATACTAGTTAAATATGTTGATCGTGTAAATTTCAAGTTTGACGGATTAAATTCGAAAATGACACCCATTTATTAGTATTTAAATATATGAGGGGGTGATAAGTAAAAAATGATATATGATAAGAGTAATTATGAAAAAAATGCATTTTTTTTATATTTATTAAGGAACAAGAGGTGTTAGTGTAATTTAAAAAACTAAGGGGTGCCTTTGTAATTAAACCAATCTACAGGGTTGTCAATGGAATTTGGTTGACGATTACATATTTAACATTGCCAATAAAAAAGAATAGGCATGTCCCTCATACTAATTTCCTCAAAGAATCTCATGCCTCAATTTTCTCAAGTAGGTTATTGTAGATCAATACCAAAGGAGGGGGGGGGGGGGGGGGTGCAGAAATCAATCCCAGATTTAAGGATCTTGCACTGTTTCCTCTGTTGAGAGTTTCTTATAAGCTTCCAACATTCTCATGCAACGTCTGCATAACTAAAGGAGCACCGCCTCTCTACCCTAAGCTTGGCTAAGAACTCAAAAAAAAAAAACAATTATATACTTGTTAGTATATAAGATGAATTAGTGAAAGTGGCTACTTTAGGTTCATCTTACTCCTCCAATTCGCCATTGTCAATGAACTGGTACCACCTTCCCATGGCCGCCGCAGCTTTGTAGGTGCACCAAATGGGTCATTTCCTACTCACGAACTGTGTAGAAGCTTGAGATGTTGATGTTGAGGACGATTGGTCCAGTGCTACAAACCATTTTTTCACTATGATCGGTTGGACTTAACGCCTTGGCAGCCGCAACTTTAGAATAGCTTTGGGATAAAAAAAACATACAAAAATCTATTAAATTCTATATTCTCGGATCCAACTTTATACAGCAGAGTTATAGCTCTGCTCCACCTCGGCAATATTGTGGTTTGTTTTCTATCAACTTCACAAAAGGGAGAAATCAGAGAAATCCCAGTTAAATTTGTTTGGTACACTTTTATATGAAAAAAAAAATCAAGTAAAGAGATCAGGAATTTGTAGTGAGGCGATCGCACTTGAGCAATAAACAAACATGAGAGAGAGAGAGAGCATCTTTAAACCTCGAATCAACCCAGCCCAGACATCAACTCTACCAGCTGTAATGACATTTACTAATCGATTCTTGTACATCTACAACTGCAGAACACAAAAAGCAAAAAACAAAAAAAAAAACAATTATATACTTTTACATCATAATTGACACACAATATAATACTAAAAGAGACGAAATGAAACGGCCATCAACTGAATTCGCGGCCCGGGGGGGTTGGTGTTGCTAATTGTTGGTGAGAGAGAGATATATACCTTGAACATTGGTGGTGTCGGAGATTGGCTGTTGCGCTGGTGGTGTGGTGCTGGGATTCTTGTACATCCAAATATATCATTCGATTTTTTAACCCACGCCGGCCGATATAGCTAAAACAAAACAAAAATCACATTTTACCTTGTCCTTTGCAACAGAGGTCACGCCACACTATTATTGCTTCCATACATTTAGTTGTCACCATTTCAATCCAAACACCACATATCAGAACACTCAAAAATGCAAAAACCAACAAATACCCACAGAAACATAAAACCTTGAACCAAGGGAAACAATAATGCAAATATTTAACCAAATGACAAAGAAAATCAATAAACACCCTTACATCTAATGAGAAGAACACCGTCTTATACGTGTGTGAGCGTGTGTGCGGGTGTGTGATGGTGTGGGTGTGTGCGTGCTGTACGTGTTTGATCTGTGGTGTGTGTGCTGGGTATGGCAATTAATCAAACAGGTGGCATGCGTGCGATGTGATGATACATGCGAGATGTGATTATACATGCGAGATGTGATTGTGCTGGGTGAGTGTATAGTTGAGGAGAGAGGGAGAGAAGAACACTTACCTTAGAGTTGGGGTGGCAGCAGGACTGTGGTAGTGCGCTATAGCGTTTGCAACCACCTACAGGAGGAAGAGAGAGGAAAATGGCAAGAGAGAAACAATGTTAAGGGTATAATTGTTAGGCGATATGTATCATACGATACGTCACGATACAGAGGTAAAATGATACGAATTGAAGTATTGTATCGTTGCATAGTATGGTCCTTTACACGATACGATACGTATCGGTTGATACGAACGATACGTGAAGTCTATGTTTTTTTTTAGGGTTAATTATAAATTATACCTTGAAAGATCATTTGAATTTTAATTTACACCTTCAAATATTAAAAATTTCAATTTGTACCCTCAAAGATAGAAATTTGTATCAATGTGCACCCTCAAAAATCAAAAATCTCAATTTGCACTCTTAAAGATAGAAATTTGTATCAATGTGCACCTCAAAGATAAAAAATCTCAATTTGTATCCTCAAAGACAGAAATTTGTATCAATGTGCACCTAAAACTAAATTGATAAATTATACTTAGATCCCTTTATGCTTGTCACTTAACCATTTGAACTCTTTCACATTTAGAATATTACTCCTACATCTTATGAGGTTTGTGCACGTGTAACACGTAACCTTTTTTCGTTAATATCTGTTAGTATAACCGTTAAAAAATATAATTTTATTATAATAAAAAATTATAATTTTATATTACCTTTTATTTTATGGGTCCAATATACTCTAAAGTTCAAAATCAAGCTTACCATTTGAATGTCTAATAGAATAAAGAGTTGCACATTGAGTGATATATTGCATTGGATATAAAAAATATTATATAAATATCTACATTCTATTGGACATTCAAATGGTAAGCTTGTTTTTTAATTTTAGAATATATCAGACCCACAAAATAAAAGGTAATATGAAATTATAATTTTTTATTGGGATAAAATTATATTTTTTTTAACAGTTATATTAACTTATATCAACGAAAATGAGTTATGTGTTACACGTCCACAAACGCCATGAGATGTAAGAGTAATATTCTAAATGTGAAGGGGTCCAAATTATCAAGTGACAACACGTGAGGGGATCTAGGTATAATTTATCAATTTAGTTTTAGGTACACATTAATACAAATTTCTATTTT